ATTGTGTATTTCAGTAGAAGATTGATGCCGCGTTGGCTAATCTCTTCAACAAACCTCTAAAAGTTCTTTGTTTTTTATCCCTTTCATCATTTTATGTCATTGTTTTGTTGTTTTTATTTTATTAGTGTTTTTTTTTATATGTTCTGCCTCTGATGGCTCATTCAAAACAAACACAAACACAATTTACAAAACAGCCCCAGAAATGTGCCCCCTGTATATATCCAGAGAGGAGAGTTTCTTCTGCTCGAGGTGATTTTACTGTTTACACAACATTTAGATTTTTAAATAAGGAACAAAAAAACATCATCATCCTTACCATCCTCCTCCCGGCTCCGCCCACACAGATCAGCCCCGGTGTACGAGTGTGTGGGCTTGTTACCTGGCCAGAGACGTACAATGAAGAGCTGCGGAGGGGAAAGGTGTTCTATAATAAAACGAATGTTTCATTGTCAATGTGTCCTGAGCTGAGACCAGACCTGCGATGAGGAGATACAATACTGTGATACTTCCAGGTGTCGGGGCTGAAATCTGACATTCCCTCACATCCTTTCCAATAGCTCTGAAGGGGTGGGAAAGGGATCTGCACATTGATACAAAATGTTCTTTATGACTTGCAGCCGGGGTGCCCGTGTCCCTTCTACTGAAATGTTTATTTTACTTTTGTGTGCGCCAGAGAAGCTCAAACGTTCCGCCTGTCATACTAATCATTTTATTCATCATAATAATCATACATTTTATATTGGTTGGACTTCTTCCTCCGTGCTGCCCTTTGTGGTGATTAAATCCAGGACCCGGCCTCTGCTACAAGATATGTTTGAGGCTAATAACATTAGCCGAGTTTGTGGGAGGAGTCGGAGCCTCCAGGCCTCTTAAACACGGAGGGGAAAGGAGGACGCATCTGCTGCTGACCTCCGGCGTACCCTCCCACCCGTCCCCATTATTATTACTAGTATTCTTTTCAAAGCTTACTTGAGTACGCCCCCTTATTTGGCGCACTGACCATAAAAATCATGGCACACCTCAGGTTGTGTGGGGTAGGTTTGTATCATGTACAAAGGGGGCAACATGCGGGGCCCGCGAGATTCCGAACACATAGTATTTCAGGTTGAATAAAGACATGGGTCCATCAAGTCCAACCCATTGCATGTATGTATGTGATTCTGCATGTGCGTGTATGTGTGTGACCAGAACCGTTGGGGCTCATTTATAATATCTGTGATGTTGGCGAGGCCGAGCAGGGAGAAGAATCTTTGTCTCTCTGATCTTTTGCTTCCGCCATAAACAATGAATCTCTTCCTGTGGATGATAATTCTGTGTATAGAGCAGTATTTGGGGTACACAGTCATCATCTCTGGGGGTCACTATTGATCATTTAGGATAATCGAACACACATATTAGCCGTGTGGATTCTATTTCCTTTTGTGGGCTCCTGTGGGCACTGCGGCTCTCTGGGGGTCTCCTCCTGTCATAAAGTGGGACATGTAGCACCCATTGATCACACTATACATGGAACAATCTGTACGCTTGGTGCTAGGACCAGCCGGAAAGGTGACAACTTGCCATATTCCGGGCATCTGGTGTGACAACTTTTTGTCTTTCGCCGACACTTCCAAAAATTTAGTGTTACCCTCCATCCCCCGCCCAGGAGCTAGCACTGGAGGACTCGCCAACACAAAGAGTTCTAATTGGTGGAGCAAAACCGAGTTGTTACTCCAGAATTCTTGACTCTGAAGGGATTTGGGGAAATGTCGCCATTGAGGTTAAATGCATCAGAAAGGCGGAATTAAGCTTCGTTGTTCTGTACAGTGGAAACACCTTTCACCTATCCCGGGCCATATTGGTCTCATTTTACACTTTATTCTCCGAAAATGACAAAAAAAAGGACAATAAAGGAGAATTAAAAGGAAACGTAAAAAAAAAAAAA